TGTAAAAAATAACGCAAAGATGCATGATATAACAGACAATGGCAATGTTACTGTGATTTTAGGGATGGGGGCTGCTATGTGACCTGGGTATGACATGGATCTGTATGTTGATTCTGATCTTGGTGTTTTGTTGGTGAGTGTCGTCATTTGTCTGTTATTGTTTCTTGTCTGAATTCTTCTAATTAATTTAGAGATATAATCTAGGGGGAAGTCATTATTGTGTGCTATTGTTCTAATGATCATTAATTCTTTTTCTCTGTTTATATTGTTAAGAGGAGTCATAGATCTGTATATACAGGGTGTCACACAAAAAACGCCCCAAGCTGTAACTCTGTCATTTACAATGCGATTTTCATGAGTGAGGTAACAAATGAAATGGTTTGATGAATACTATGATTCATGCTACAAATAAATTTTTTCCAAGACCATCTTCAATTTTAAACGATTATTAACTTTTGTTTTTCAAATTGCTCCATATATTTTTCTTCACGTCATTGGATGGAGATTGTTTTTCTGAATCCATTGATATACAATACATCCATTTTGAAAGTAATTTTAGCAAAGAAAAGACACCTGTATATACAGGTTATCACACAAGAAAGCCGCAAGCTGTAACTTTGTCATTTACCTTCTGATTTTCATGAACGAGGTATCAAATGAAATGGTTTGATGAATACTATGATTCATGCTACAAATAAACTTTTTCCAGCGCTATCTTTAATTTCAAGCGATTATCAACTTTTGATTTTCAAACTGCTCGGTATGTTTTTCTACACGTTATTGTATAGAGATTTTTTTTTCTGAACCCAATGATGTACAATACATTAACATTAATTGTAATTTTAGCAGAGAAAAACAATTAAAACATTTTCCGAACATTGTCTTAGTCACTTCTGTAATACTGTGTGCCATGGAAGAAAGAACGCGCAAAACTGATAACAGTCATTAAATGTTATTTCAATGCCCGAAGCAGTTGTAAATGATACTTATAAGTTGTTTTTTCATTTATCCAACGGGTCGGTGAAAGTAAAACGAGATTCTACGATTCAGGATGCGATAAATAAAAAATCATAAACAGGAAGTTGA